CCTAACCTCACACACAACATAAAARTTTACCTTTGACCCGCATGTATCTAGACAGATCACAYGCGRATCWGCTTYCTCYTGAAATCMTGCATCCACAAARGTYAGYGGCAAATACAAACAYAAACATSHYATGACTCATGCAGCATGCAATCACACAATCAAACATCATGCACAAACAATCCAAGAAAATACTTAACCAAATTCCTAAAATTCTAGCAAGAACCTCCATGGTTATAAAACATAACAATAAACAAGCACCGTGTGCCTACTCATCTATCACACGACAAGCATTCCTAAGACTCACCTTATTCAAACGGTTAGGACTTCGACTCAAACTTAGGCTTAGAACGGATCTAGGTTCCTCGACTACTCTATGATCTAACAAATCTTCCCTTTCCTTAAAATGAACAGAGTTTCGGCTTGAATCTCGATCATTCCAACCATCAAAACCACAAAGGGTTGGATTCAAGATCACAAGACGAAACTAATTCAGATAGAAAAGTTAGGATCGGAACGYCTTAYCCTAAAAAYTTYACGGCACTAYTGGATRGTTCCCGACAACAGACCGCGGATTGGATCACGATCACGAACTATTTTGGTCAGAGGTTTGGAACATTTTCTATGTAAGAAATGAGAGCTACTTGGTCCTATTTATAGGGTTAAGCAAGCAGGTAGGCACAGTAGGACGGTCAGAAGTCTGTGGCGTGCTTCCCGATGAATCGTTGCACATGGTCGCGACAACTCGTGCTTGCGGATTTATCGTGCTTGTGGATTTGTCGTGCTTGCAGATTTGTCGTGCTTCCAATGACTCGTCACACAAGATTGCGACACCTTGTGCTTACGAGATTTGTCATGCTTCTGATTTGTCGTGCTTGCAGATTTTTCGTACTTGCCGATTTGTCGTGCTTGTAGATTTTTCGTGTTTCCGATGACTCGTCGCAGAAGATCGCGACACCTCGTGCTTATGGGATTTATCGTGCTTCTGATTTGTCGTACTTGCGGATTTGTCGTGCTTGCGGTTTCCAAGCACGTCCATCCCGAGCAGCTGTGTCGTGCTTCCGCAAATTTTTATATTTTTGTAAAAATATCAAGTTTGAAAGCACCTTCCCAGCTCGTGTTTCTTGCCACCCGTGCTTCTCGCCACGTCGTGTTTCAGGCTACCTCGTGCTTAAAATCCCGTCATGCTTGACAATTTTTTTTTTACAACTAGGTTTTGGCTCGATCGTCTCCCGTAATTGTTTTGATCTCTTGATAGGGTCATTACACTTCCACTCTATATGGATCAATTC